AGAGTTATAACGAGAAATTATTACCCATGGATAACCATGGATACCGGAAACCCAAACTTTGATGGATATGGTTTTGATTTTGTACCCTATTCTTATGTGGGTATGAGCATGAGTAAAATCCGAACTGATTTAGATAGGATAACGGATATACTATCCACACCAACCCGACCCAACCCGTTGTCATCCTAAACAATCACAACTTCCAAACCAACCCTTAATTGGCATCGCGATAAAGCTAGTTATCAAGCGGGGCTGAATCAATGTTCACCAACTGCAATCATTTCACCAAAACCCAATTTCAAAAATTCCACTTGACCTTTTCTTATTTCCTGTAGAAACCAAATTTTGTGCTGACGTAGCTTGAAACCAAATTTAAGTCAAAAGCACGTCGACAAAAGGAGGTAGTGGTGGGGAACATGGAGCTGATGCGTATCACATTATCGATGATATTTCAACCAGGTTCCATCTCATAAACTATGACTACTTCCTCCCTCCAATTAAATTAAATTCCAAGCATGCATGATGAGGTTGTCACGAGCTCACAATCGATACACCACCATCAACAACGCGCTACCTAGGCCAATGAGCATGAGAAATTGAGAATGCATTATTATTAAGAGATTGCCGTGACAGGAACCAGAAATATGAATGAGAGTAGTTGATTTGAATTATCAAAATTGGAAGAGGGTATTAAAGGCTTATCGACTTTTCAAATTTTTAAACTTGTGCAAAATTCATATCTAATTTATAAATTTGTGCAAAATTTATATTTAATTTTACATACATCTCAAAATCGAGGACTTTTCACTAACTACGCTAGTTCTTAAAAACCATTCACAAAATACAATAACTTTTATGAAAATTCTCTTAGTGCATATGTTTTGCTAAATCACGTCTGACAAATGCGATTTATGCCTTCATCGCGTTCGAGGAAAGCAAATAAGAAATCCATTCGTAACTGCTTTCCGGAAAAGCAATCTACATGGATCCCTGACGTGGAGCGCGATCTGCCGTTGGATGAAAAGCAATCTACATGGATCCCTGACGTGGAGCGCGATCTGCCGTTGGATGAAAAGCAATCTACATGGATCCCTGACGTGGAGCGCGATTTGCCGTTGGATCGCGTTCGTGGAAAGCAATCTGGCTAAACCACGTTTCTCCACCGCGATTGGCTGGAAGGCCGCGCCTCCGATCACTGACGTGGAAAGCTGCGAAGCCTTGGGGAGGCATGGATCGCTTTTATGGCAAGCAATTAGCCGTTAATCGCGATTGAGAGATGCGATTTGTGCTTCCTCTTTGCTTCAGCGTCGAGCGCTGCCCCCTCCCCTTCAGCCTATAAATTTAGTCCCTCTCCCTAATTCATTCACACCACCACAAAATTCTTCCTCCCTCTCCTCCGCCAATCAGGGAACACTTGTATGCTCCGGGATTGCGGCCAAATTTGATCTTCCACATCAAATAAGTTTCCTTGAGTTCTGATATAACCTTGTCCCACTAATAACCAAGTCGAACCTCTGTCCGACTTCTACATAAAAATGTCTGACTTCTACAAAAAAATGAACGAAGAGGCTTTTAGGCTACCTACTTGTTTTTCCTTCTATGATTTATTGTCCATTAAATTTGTCATATATTTGTATCTCCCTTATCCAAAAAATTTGTTATATATTTTATATTTTTGTGATTTATCAACGTGAATCATGTCGGGAAGCTATAAGGCCAATAATACCTTAATAGTTTAACCATGATTGACTCGTTGTTTGTTTTTGTAATACTTATGATTTTTGCCCAAAATACTCCACAAAAGTTTTCATTGTATTTGAATTTTTTTGTACTTTTATAATTTGTTTACAAATCTAATAATGTTATTTTCTTGTATTTAATGATAGATGGTGACGAATATTTACGATCCTAGATTGTATATCCAACCCGACCCGAGGGATGCGCAATATTTAACCGAGCAAACAAATATCGATCTCATGCGATTTGGAATAATAACCTGGTCGTCACGCCCTATCTTCAATATCATGTTTTTTAAGTATTTTAAAACGTTGCTATAAAACTTACTTTGTGGATTTTTTTTCGTAGAAATCACTTGTTCCCACGTCCATAGAGGGACCGACTGCATGTTAGCCCCATTTCATGCCCGACTCACGCCCTATCTAGAAAGGGGGAGATGCTTCGTGGGGATGGAGATTGACAACGAGCTACTCATGGCTATGCCAGAGAGGTGGCGGCTCTAGACACATTCCTTCCACTTTCCTGAGAGGAAATGAGTATGTCACACTGCGAGATGTTGTCATCCTCAACGAGTTGTCGATCACAAGAGACCACATCATCGATAACTCGAGTATTCCCAAAGGAAGTTGGGGTCCACTAATTATGGAGCGTTTGGATTTTGACATGCTGACGACACTAGAGGGATGGGGTCATCTGTCGTCGAACGTGGACCCAAGTATCAATCTCGTGGCTCGTTGATCATATAATGGCATAGGTTGAGCTGAATGCATTCACCCCAGAAGAAGCATTGGAGTGGTATGTACGGGTTTATCTCATTGCCTTGGTTGGTTGAGTGATTTTTCCGAACAAGGCGAATAGCTATATGTCATGTGATTCTCATTGCTCCTCGGTGATTGGTCCGTGATGGGGACGAAGAGTTGGGGAATGGCTGTTTTAGCCACGGTTAATTAATACAAGTGTAATTAATATAAATTTACTTTTTTCAAGATTAAAAATGTCTATTCTACGAAAAAATTAAAAATGTCTTCTCTGTCATTAATAGTTTCAATGCCCGCATTACTATGAGGTGGACACCTTATCGTGTCCTGTCTCCCATTGATCACATAGATATTTGGCTTTTGGGATTGAATGAGAATTAATTGCTTCTCTCTGATTTAATACTCCAACAATTCTTAAGAAAATACTCCATTAATCTAATGCACAGTTGCACACACACTAGAGAAATTCCATCCCGCAGCCCCAAAAGTCAAAAGACTTGTCATCAAATCCACGCATGTGATTTGCCAGTGATAATCATTCTCTTGTCCTTAATCCTGCCTTTCTTAATTACCTTTTTATATACAACCATAATCATATATACTCGTGTTTGACTGTTGACTAATCTAACGAGTGCAAAACATCATCAAGCCAAATGCGGCAGAACACTTCTTTTGAAGTGCACCCTTTAGATACAAGATTTTTTTTAGGGGTCTTTAGATACAAGATTTTAATAGCTCGTTACTTTCTATCCAAAGAAGAATGTTCCTTACTTTGCTCGATTGTCTAGGAGGAGGAGCTTAATCAACTACTAATTCATGCGTTAACGTGTTCATTGTTAGGGCTGCTAATAAGTTGAGTCAATCTTGGTTAATGCTCAAAATGAGTTTGAGAAGCCTAGCTCTAAATTGGACCATCTGTGAAAATTGTAACTCGAGTTTAGCTCAGTAAGTTAGGTCAATGAGCCAGACTCAATGTTGGTTCTGATGATATGCAAGTGTGCTCAATGAGCCAAATTGGTATGCGTCTGAGCCCTCAACTAAATCAACAATATTTTAATATCCTTATGATATATAAAAAAAATAATTAATATAACCAATAAATTTGTAAGTCATTAAGGAAATAACTCATCATAAATTTGATACATACTTCTTTGTATGTGTATTTTATCGAGTTCGTCCACCAATCCAATAATTAGAATAACACCAACTCAAATTCGACTAGTTAACTTTTTTTTATAGAAACATTGAGGGGATTTTATTAATTTCCAGCTTTTGTTACAATCTCGAGTAACAATTGATCAACTAGGAAGATAGGAGGCATGTCTACCCAGACAATACTCTCCTTCCGGTGTGTCTCAGCACGAGCCATAATGTGAGCCGCTTCAACACCCGTACGAGTGACGTGCCTCAATGAGCTTTGACCGCAGCAAGCCAGGTACCTTTAATGCTTCTGTAGATAACTCCGTCTTCCGTGGCCAGTTCAGCAGGAGCCGCCACCTTCTAGATAATGGTAAGACATAGTGGCGGAGCCAGCATTTCAAACCACCCATGTCCTCTTTTAATAATATAATTATTTAATTATTTAATTAAAAATTATTTAATAAAATATAATTAAAATTAACAAATATATGCATAATTCATTCATATACAATCATTGTTTTTATAAACAACCACGAAGATTTCATATTGTGAAAGAAACGCAAAAACATTCGTCGTCTACACTATTAAATAAGTTTTTTTCAATGTATCTCACTAAATTAGTATTAGCAAATTGGTTGCCAAATCGACTTGGAAACTTTTCTTAATATAACTCAAAGTTGAAAATGCTCTTTTTACATTTGCAGTTGTAATTCGTAGAATCAAAACTAGTGGAATTGCTGCTGTCACTAGACAATTTTAGGGTTGTTGGGAAAAAATGAGTAGGCATAAGGAGAAAAAAGATCTGATTAGGTCTTTATTGTAATTAGAATTCGTTTATAGTATAATAAATTAATTTTATGTCAATTTATGAATAAGTAATGAGTTGTGATGTAGTGACAAAAATACTCTAATACTACCAATAGGCATTATTTTCCATCACCAATATACATATATGACATATTTTTATTCCTCTGAAATTTACCCCTGTCTTGGGACAAGGCCCAATGGGCTTCCCTCCGCCTATGGTAAGACAGTCGATCTTAGGAACCGGTTTTGCAACGTGGAACTAGAAGTCCACTTTTACACCAAATTCAACTAGTTAACAAATGAGCATGTTCGTGAGCTGCCTCATTGAATAACGAATCGAGTGTCAAACAAGTTTCTTAGCAGTCAAGCGTAGAGATGAGATTTTCAATTTTTAAGTTCCACCTTCTAGTTCGGCCCAACTTATCATACCAACCAGCTACCGTTGCATGGACCAAGGAATAAATGGGCTAGGCCCACTAAATCCCCAGCCAACTTTGACAGATTCTCCGAGCCCAAGAGAGTTGCTAGAGTCACAGGGAGAAACGGCAACTTTGTAATCCGATAACCCCACCACCAGTGGGGCAAAACGTCAACGACGCTTTTTGGGCACGAAAACAGTCCGCGTCCCTGCAGCCAATGGGGATACGCTGGTGAAGTCACCGACCCAATAAGAGCCCTCCACGTGGGAACGTCGACGTAGCTTCGCGCTTGAAGCCTCGGGACAAAAGCTTCGCCGTTTGGCCGTTGAAGTGTGTAGTTAGTGGTAAACATTTTTCGCGAGTTAACCCTTCTCCGAGCTTCGATCCTGGGTTAATTCCTGTCGCTACCGGTCCTCTGATACTTCCGCAGCAGAAAGATCGCGGAGAGGATCACCGGATCTTCGGTGTCCGGCGGCGGCAGAATGGAGGCACACGGCGCCGGGTTACGCCGCGTGATTCTGTTGGCGTTCTGCATCGCCGGGATCTGGGCGGCTTACATATACCAAGGAGTGCTTCAGGAGACTCTGTAAGCTGCTTCGAACTTTTCCTAAAATGATTCCCAACCTTTTTCATGCGATCTGAACTTGTGCGGGGAATTGGAAATGGGGGAGTGAATTTTTTTGGAGCAATGTCGATTGGTTTTGCAAGTGAAGGATCAGGATTTGGGATTCTGTAATGGAGTGATTGGAACTAGGGTTTGATGAATTGTAATGCTTGAGGGGTTTCTTTTACTTGCTGCAAATAGGTCCACCAAGCGCTTTGGTCCCGATGGGGAGCGGTTTGAGCATCTGGCGTTTCTTAATCTGGCACAGAGTGTGGTCTGCTTGATTTGGTCTTTCATGAGTGAGTTTCTCCATTTCTTGCCTGCTCTCCTTTCTTTTTTTCTTCTATGATGTCAAGGGAGATAGGTGGGGTTTCAGAGCTGAAAATTTTGGTTTATTGTGAGTTTTGCAGTGATAAAGATGTGGTCTAGTAGCAGCGGTGGTGGTGCGCCCTGGTGGTCATACTGGAGCGCTGGCATTACCAATACGATTGGCCCAGCTATGGGAATTGAAGCATTGAAGTACATCAGTTATCCAGCTCAGGCAAGTTCTTTCTGCTCTCTAAAAGTTTATGCATTTTCCTATGATTGGAATTTGGAAATGTGCTACTTGGGTAGAACATAGAAAGAATGAGAAGCTCTTCTAGCACGCTGTTGGAACTGCCTTGTGATGGATCCTTTACGGCTGCTGCGTTTGGCTCTGTACAATACAGTTTAGGAAGAAAAAAAAAGCTGAAGTGGCCTAAGTTAATGGTTTCACAACCATTGTTTTGCAGTCTAGTCCTCTTTATGGGTTTCAATTACTTGGTTATTATGAAGGCTACATCAATTTCATGGTCCTAGGAATGGCTTTTGCGTAGTCTTTTTCAGGAAATGTTGCCTTCAAACTTTGTTTCGCCTTGTGATGATGGTCATCGTTATTGCAGGTTCTTGCAAAATCATCAAAAATGATTCCAGGTGAGACTTCTTTCTTACCATGTGAAACTTTCTGTTACATAGTCTGTTCTGGTTTCAGTCGTTCCTCCCTTTTGCAAATGGATCTGTACTCCTATGGACTTTGATTTGAGTGTCTTTTACTATTTTGTAAAATTTTCAAAACTTCTCCAGTTATGTTTCTCGCATGAAGGTGCCTGGGTTTCTCTGCCCTACAACTCATATTCCGAAATTGCCCGTCCCCTCATAAGAATCCGATTTGCACTCCCAAAATGAAAAATAAGATCAAACGTGACAATTTCCTTTCAACTAAGAGGCTGTTTCCTTTTTTACAGTTATGTTCATGGGGAGTCTAGTATACGGCATAAGATACACACTTCCAGAGTACTTGTGTTCTTTCCTCGTTGCTGGAGGTGTATCTACATTTGCACTTTTGAAGGTAAGAAATTATCACTGCTAAGTTCTTAGGAGCCATATTAGTGGTTACGCTGTTAATTAAAAGCTGAATGTCATGCTGCTTCTCTCACCTTCTCATACTGGTTGCTGGATATTTTCAATCTCAGACTAGCTCAAAGACCATTAGCAAGCTGGCTCATCCAAATGCACCTCTTGGGTATGGACTTTGCTTCTTGAACCTTGCATTTGATGGATTCACAAATGCGACGCAGGATTCGCTTACAGCAAGGTACAGTTAAAGGCTTGCCAAAACAAACACACCCTATCAAGTTGATTGCTTCCAAATCATGCATATTACGTTTTATGTCTCAACTACGACCTGTATTATTTACAGGTATCCAAAGACCACCGCATGGGACATAATGTTGGGGATGAACTTGTGGGGTACCATCTACAACATGGTCTACATGTTTGGTTGGCCATACGGCATGGGGTATGACGCAGTCCAGTTCTGCAAGCAGCACCCAGAGGCCGCATGGGATATCTTGTACTACTGCCTGTGTGGTGCAGTGGGCCAGAACTTCATCTTTCTAACGATAAGCCGATTCGGATCACTCGCTAACACCACCATCACGACTACTCGCAAGTTCGTGAGCATCGTGGTTTCGTCCGTACTAAGTGGCAACCCTCTTTCGACGAAGCAATGGGGGTCGGTGGCCATGGTTTTCTCTGGTCTGTCGTACCAGATCTTTCTCAAGTGGAGGAAGTTGCAGAAAGTTCAGAAGAAGAGAAAGAACAATTGAAGCAGTTAGAATTCTACAGTTTTGGAGATCCACCTTCTTTTCTTTCCAATTTCTTCTACCTTTTGTCATCACTGCCCTGTTACATTATCAGTGTTAGTCTAGTGACCGGGTTTGGTGTGAAGTGTAGAACCACAACTAGATTACGGCCAAGTGTAACTGAAATTGAATACATCTCATTGATACAGAGAATTGAAGTTCTGATAGCCTGTCGGTAATGGTTTTGTTACGAGGAAGAAGGCACTACAATGACTATTCAAGTGCAGATCAGGCCTAGCAATGACCGCAAGCAAGCGATCAGATCGTAACAAATAGAATACTGAGGAGCAATGTAGTCAAAAGCGTGATTCTACGTAGATTCATTTTGATGACCTAGATACGCTTTTAAATTTTAAAGTGTGATTTTTACTACAGTAATGGAAAAACAAGATTATAGATAAACTTAAAATGCAAAGTTAAGTTTCAAAACGTGATTTTGACTATATTATTGACTAGCACAAACGCATAATTGCAGCGTACATCTGCACGTCATTGTATACCCAAATTAAGTTGATGGTACAACGTTTCTTATATGAATTGAACTTGCAGGAAAGTAAATGTTTCCATGTATGAAGTTGGTGACCAGGAAGGATAAGCTTGGTGGTTCAGATATCACATCGTTCAAGTGTAATATATGAAGGTCAAGACTAGAGATAGTCAAAATAGTCAACTTGGGGCGAAACCTTCTCTCGAGAAAGTAGAGAGAGGCCAATCAAATGAGTAAACGCTTTAATTTGTATGCGGTTCCCTCTCCCTCTTTGCTTTAGCTGTGCCAAAATGAATGATTACACTTGTCCTCCACCATCACCCACCACTAACAAGTCCTTCCTACATAACAGAATCCACAAGGACACTCTTCACTTCTCCTCCCACAGGCCTTTCCCATAGAAGCAAAGCTCAGGAATAATGCAGAGAGAAGGATGGGAGAGCAGAGATTCTGGCCAAAGTGTTCAGCTTTTTAGTGACCAAATCCCATTTCTGTAGCACAAGAGGAGTAAGCACTTTCTTCCCATCTTTCTCTTCAAGCAGAAGGACAAAGATTCTGGTTTCATGGGACACAAGAGAGCAAGGACATGGAGAAATGACCTCAGTCAGGTAAATCGGTTGTAACAACTTACATTTGAATGTTTCGATCTTCTTGTTCGTAAAGAGAGCCATGTTGCAGTCTCAATCTTCTTCCTGCTCTGAGTTTGATTGCAGTAAAGATATAATATAAAAAAAAAACTTTGTAATGAGAATTTGATGAAGAGAAGAAGAAGCATGCACACCAAAACCAGGAAGACATTTCCATTTCCAAATCCCACCAAGGTTCTATTCTGTTACATCAGAATTCAGGTAAAGGAAGACCAACCAAATAAGAAAAACGGGCAAAAAAAAAAAAAACTTATTCTATACCCTATGCACACCAAAAACAACAAATAGGAATCCAATCAGCTGGTTAATCCTCCTTTACTTTCTTTTCCTTCTTTTTTCTATGTTTCTTCTCTACTCATATAGGCGAGATGCCGATGTCTAATTACACTCTGACTACAGGCATATATAGTAGCAGTACTAAGATTTCTGTACATATGATGATGATGAATCGAAGGCCGAAAACTGGATCTGCGGTAACCCATGTACCGAAATCCAAGCAGCAAAAATCAAAAGAATGTCACACCATTAGCAATCACAGGGGAGGCGCCTTTCTTCCATGGTAGCACTCTCCTCCAGCACTATGAAAAATTGTACTCAAAGTCACATTTTACGTATGTGTCCTGAGCTGGCTAGAATGCATCCTTCACATTCTAGACCTGGGGTCTTGGATGCAGTTTTCTCGACATGCCGACGGATAAAACTTCGTCCAGGATAGCTGTATCCCTAGTAGAGAAAATAGGTAGAATGACTGTTTTAGGGTAGACAAGATTTCCCCCCCTTTTTAGGTGAGAAACCATGTTCTCTATTTGATGACTAAAGATATTAGGAGCGGGGAAGTCCATGTTGTTCATATGAGATTGATGATGGAGATTCTCAATCTCATAAACTTTGGAGGAGGACTCTTTTGCAGGGAGGTGGTTGAGAAGTATTGATGGTTGGATTAGGGAAAGGAGACTCCCCTCCAAGAGTTTTCAGTAGGAATCTTCGTTCCTGAAAATCAGAAAGACCAAAATGAGAGGAGGATGAGAAAGAGCCACAAGTCTTGCATTATAGCAGATGAAGTGTATACAGGATATCGGGAAAACTATAACAGCATTTACACTGTGCTTGAGCTAGGCTAGACTGTGTTGGGTGGAGGAAGAAACTCATCTTCACTCTCAGTTCTGCTATAGCCTTAAGAAAGTGATGGTCTTATCACATTCAATCTAGGTTGAGTCTAGATCTATACGAGAAACTAATCACATTCAATAAACCATTAGGAACCAAGACTAGGGTTAGGAGTCCTTTGATCATAAACCTTTTAGATGATACTTCACCGACCTTATGCCAGCACTACTGTCTCTTATAACATATATACCAAGCTCTCAATATCAAAATCCCCTTATATAACCAACTAATGACATTCTCAAACCTAGGTGACCTTAGTGGCCTGACCTAATATTGAAGTGTTAAGGCTCGTGAGACATATCCCACCGGAGATTAGCTGATGCAGTTATAATGAAGAGAATCAATTGTCAATATATAACAACTCACACTTTCTGAAAATTGGGGACTAGGAATTCCAGCTGCCAAGGATCTGAACAATGGGGTAACTTGACGAGGGGAACCGAACTCTGTACTTGATGAAGCAGAAACAACTATGTCATCATTCGTTTGGTCTTCAAATGATGGAAACAGCTCCCCTGAAAATTTTCACACATGCCATCAGCATAGGCTGGCTAACATGGACAGGAAGTAATGTACTTTGTCAACTTTGTTTCTCTTAATATGTTGTTTACCTTCAGCTATGTTAACCCCAGATATGAGTTCTTTGTCACCTTTACTTTCGACGCCTTCTCCTTCGACATGCATGGCTTCCAAATCAATTGCAACATCCTTGTGCAGCGTCTCAATTTCAACATGGGGTTGTTCTGTTGTTGCATCGGGAGCTGAATATGGCATAAGACTTGACCCTGTACTGAACTCAGAGCTAGCTGGAGATTCTTCATATAGATCAGGTTGCCTACAGCATTTGTATTGATTGAGGTAACTGGTAAGCTCTTTTGTAGCAACACATTGCTCATTCTGAATGCTTAATCATCAATCTCAAATTTTTTACCTCCAAGATGGATGACTTCCATCACTGCTGTTCCTTAGCTCTTCTATCAAGTCTTTAAAATCCTCGAGTTGGATATCAATGTCAGAAATCGTGTAACTCGGGATCTCATCTCCTTTATTCCTTTTCAGGAAGTCTTGAAGTATCTGCATAACAAGTTCAGTTTAATGAATGTGCTCCTTGGTAGTGAATGAAATGGACGGAATAGGGTTTAGCTCACAAGATGGAAGGAAAATTTTACCTTCCAAGCATGTTCGAGGCTCTGGTCGGAGTTCTCTGTATTGACTTTCTGTGCCAGCGTGCTGAGAAGTTCTGCTTGTTGCATCAGGGCTGATATCTTTGGATCATCTTTCTTGAGAAAGGTTCCTTGTGTATTACCACTTTGAGCTGCTAAACAAGTTTGGGACCGAAGAACATTACTACCAGTATGCTCAACAGAACCTGACTGGCCATCAAGAAAGTTAAATTGAACTAAAGAAGGGAGCTTTTGTGAAGAAGAATGTTACCACCAGGGGAGACGTCCTTGTTACTGATGATTGGATGCTGATTAACAGCATTAACTTTATGTGCATCCCGAGCCAACACCATAAATGGGGCCCTAGCCTGTTTAGGGTGTGATCTATCTCCAAAATTCCGGGTCTCTGTTTGATCGGGAATGTGGGATCTCCTGAGTTTGAACAAAGACAAAAACTTCAACAACTGTGCTGCAAACTGGCATGGAACCAGAAATGCAGAAAACTCTCAGATACCTAGTTCGCTTGGCAGCTCCTGCAATTTCTGGGTTTCCATCAGTGTTCACCTTGTCATCCAACAAGACTCTCTTGTTGTTAGACTTACTAAACACGCTTTCATTCTCTTTGGCCAATGCTTCATATTTTGCTCTCTTCTTGCAAAGGGTTGTGAACCGGTTCTTCACAGCATTGTCTGTTCTGTATAAACCAAAACAGATGGTTGATTGTGATAAGAGGTATCATTAGCATACTATCACAAGAAACATCTTCCATTTGAACTGTGCACAAAGAGAAAAAGATATAAAACTGTTGCGTACCTGCCTGAAACAACCTTTGCTATTTCTGTCCATCTGTTACCAAATACTCGTTGAGCCTGCAAAATTGATTTGCAATCATCAGATCAGAACGATTATTGACTGGATAACCACCCTCTATTTCAAATCCTAATAACATGAGAGAGAATATAAACATGACGATCTGCAAACTCCGGGAAAACCGAGTTAAACTTTTGATTACAAGCATACAAATAGCGTTTAGTTCTTGGCATATTAATCCAGGATCTCCCCAATGAATAACTTTATTCCATCAAGATGGAATGTACACTCCTGAGTTATACCTCACACAAGAGCAAGTCTTCCTCCTGAGACCATCCGCCTTTCTTGAAATCAGAATTCAAGTATGTGTACCATCTGCAGTAACAAATCAATCAGATGTCACTATAAAAAATAACTAAAATGAGAAGTACAATCCATCACTGTCATTTTCCCTAAATAAGCAAGAAAGTGCATAACCTAAACAGAGCATAATCCAAACAGTAGTAGAAGTAATTATTTCATTTACCTTCTTCTACACTGTCTCGTTGTTTTGTCACTGAAATTAGATGCTATGATCGCCCAGCTGCAATATATTAAAAGAACAAGCTTGTCAGCCTCATTCAGGCATAACATCGAACACTTGGTTAAACCCACAAAATGCAATAGAAAGAAGAAGAAACAGGATCATTCATATGATTCTCACTTCTCCGTTCCATGTAAGTTTATCTGCTGGCGAAGTATATCATCTTCCTGCACCGACCACAAGTTAACCCCGATTATTTCCAACCAGAGAAAGGCCAAAAGAGAAGAAAAAGAATATGAACAAGAAAAGCCAGCTTTTCTCTGCATCCAAACAGCAATGAAAGGAACAAAATCAGGACAAAGTTACAGAATAGAAAACCTCAGAAGTCCAAGTGACGATATGCCTCTCCTTCTTCTTAGTAGATTCTTCACTCCCACTACCACTACCATTGATCTTCTTCTTCTTATCTTCTTCCATTTCCAAACCAGCCACAAGAAGAAAAAAAATGGTTCTTTCACACACTGAACAGAAAACTCAGCAGGCTCCCTTGGACGCTCCTCCCTTCTCCTCCTTTAACAAACCCAAGTCGCATTTGGTAAAAAATGCAAGAAAGGCCAAACCTTTTATGAAGAAAGGAAACACACACCAAAAGGGAAACCCAAAAAACCCAAAAATCCCAAAAATCGAAAGACCCAATAAAGCTAATCCGCCTTCAACTAGGACCCAGCAACACACTTCCCTTCCCTTCCCTTGCCCTCTCTCTAATAGCCTCGGATTCTATTTTACAGTTAGGTTTCTACCAATGCGGTATTATTTGGTAGAAAACAGGGAAACCAGTCTCTGGTCTTCCGAATTGGAAAAGCTAGAGAGAATCAACACTGCAGCCGATGATTATAAATGGGACAGCAGCTAGCTAGCTAGGCTATAAGCTAATAAGCAGAACCAAACCCAGAAATGAAAAAGGAGGCAAAAACGCTTTGATGGGTAGGGCTCCTGTTTCGTTACGCTCGAAGCCCAAGGCTTCACATTTGTATATACCAATCGTAGAGTATAGAACAGAGATCTAAAAGGCGAAGCGTAGAGCAGAGAAGGAAGGGAGGGAATCGGTGATGGTGGTGATGATTATGTTGCTGCAGTAAGAGTAGAAGTAGAGCAGTAAGGAAAGGTTTTTTTTTAGTGAATGAATGAGAAAGATTGGAACTTGTGGAAGAGTGAACTGAATGATGATCTGTCTCTCTCTCTGAGGTCTGAGCCGTTCTCTGTTTTGTTTTTTTGTTTTTGTGGGGTTTCCTTTTTTCCCCATTTGTTTATGGTTTTTCTTCTTCTATACGTCGGGTCTGTATTTGAATTGTTTTGTATAATAGGAATAGGAATAAAAAGTTTTGTTTTTGGGACGATAAGATATTAATTTAGATCAACGGATTCTTGTTGTAGTGCGCGGTATGAAGGGGAAGTTTGAAAATATAGAAAACGCTGAATTTCATGAAATGAGGTTTGTGGGTATTCAATGATACCATGGCCACTACCTTATGAGTGACATTTTTGGACTTACCCCACAACTATGTTATGCCCCATCAATATGAAGTCCCACACTAGAGTAGGCTATTGGGAGAGGATGCTTTATTTGGGATTTTGTTGTAATTGTAAATAAATGGATGTTTTCTATGTCAATTGTAAATAACATACAATCGGGATAATTACATACATTATAATTAAAAAGATTGTGCCACACAAGCGGTCATGGCATTGTCGAGCTAGGATTGCTAGTAGTTTTTTATAGAATTTTTTTAGATCAATGCACTGATTTAAAGAAAAATTATATTATTAGACTCATTCATTTTCAAGCAGTTTTCAAATGAGAGTGTTTGATTCATATAAAAGAATCTACTTTACTTTTCACTTACATCTATGAAGATTTCTTGAGAGCTTTGTGACTATAACTACGAACTATAGTGGAACCTAAGATTTCCGGTACTATTGCTACGACTATTGTTCCAGAGAGAAGAGAAAAAAGAAAGAGTTTGACGAGACCGTTTGTGATTTGATTTGTTTCTCCCTTTTCCCGAATCTGCTTCAAGTTTTATTGCTAAGAGGTATATAACTTCTCTCTCTATTTTTTCTTTTTTTTCTTCACAGAAAATTAGCTTTCATGTATGATATGCCCATCAATATGAAGTCTAACACTAGAGTAGGTTATCGGCAGAGGATGCATTATTTAGGATTTTTTTTTAATTGTTAATGGATGTTATGATCTGTAATTCTGTATCAACCGTAAAACATACCATTACCCATATAGAAATTCCTTAAGAGTTTGGTGACTATAATTACAAACTACAAATGAACATTGCATAAGGTCTCTGTGGTACTATTGTGACTATTGTTCTAGAGAGAGAAAAGAAAGAGTTTGACGAGACTGTTTTTAATTTGATTTGTTACCTCTTTTACTAGAATCAACCTCAAGTCTATTGTGGAGAGCTATCTAACTTTCATACTTGAATCAAGAATTAATATCAACATTTATTTTTCAAATTCAAGAAAGAAATAATTTTTTTTAATTAAATTCACCAAAACTCATCATTTTGTTTAGAGATTTGAAATTGGTCATATCACTTATACGAGACATTCCAGTCTATTTTGTATCGCTACTAGTTGAACCTGATTGTATCGACTGATAATGCACAGGTTTGAAAACCATGGTATAAGTTATTAGGTAATTTTGCTCCACTAGTGAATTCTAGAAAGCCGAAAGCTTCAAATTTTCCTTTTTGTCCTAATCTCCATTGCTATAAATTTCATCACGTTAATTAGATAATTTGTTCATTATTTTTTATAGATAGTTATAATTAATTAAGATGAATATTTTATGTAATTTCTTTATTTGTATATAAAAATTAACTTCGAATATGACGTTATTAATGTAAAAAAACAGAATAGCCATGTATCCCTTACATGTTTGCCAGATTGAGTGGTGTTATCAACTAATCATCCAGCTTTCTTATTGAGTTGTGCCATCAACAACTTAACCAACTTTAATCATAATGAGTTGTGTCATCTGCTATTCATCCAAATTTAATCATAATGAGTTGTGTCATCAACTATTTATCCAAACTTTGACTATATTATTGTAGAAGGAATCATCTCGTGTTTCTATAAATGAACCCTCATACTTGAGCATTCTACTAATCCACCATTCAACCTTTGCAAAAAAAAAAAAACTATTCAACCTTCCCTTTGTACATCTCTCTAGCCACCGAACTCTTTTTCTTTCATGGATTCCCTTGGTAGAGAAGCTGATGATAACACCAGGCTCCAAAACAAACTTGGGTAGAGAAAGATCCCAAAACACCAGCTCAACAGAAATCCACTACGACCAAAACCAACCAGACAACCGAGCCTCTGCCAGATTCAAACACCAGCAGTACATCACAATCAGCTACCAAAACTACCCCACAGCCTACACCCAAAGATACAACCCCCCAGTCCACTACCCAGACCCCCCTTTCCAACCAAACACCACCAATTCCTGTAAGTGTACCACCTGATATTGCCCAACACCCACCTGGAACAGACTCAGTAATGTCCCAAGCCCAATCTTCACCACTACAAGAGTCACAGGGTGAGCAGCTACAATCGACAATGATGCAGGGGATGACAGAGGGACATCCACCAAATGGCAACACGGAGGAGCTTATTTTACAAGCTCCTACGGGTTCTCAATGACCCAAGACTCATGGTCTATCCCTACGTTAAACCTCCCAATGGGAGTATGAGTGTCAACTTGAGTGTGAACTTATATATATATATATATATATATATATATATATATATATATATATATATATATATATATATATATATATATATATATATGTTCATGATGTATGCAAACCATCCTCATCAACATCAAACAACTTCATCTCGCGACAGTTAGTCATCCAAAAATCAGTGAGACATAACAAGGAAAACAGTCACAAATGCTTGGTGCAAGATTATTTCAGCTCCAATCCAACCTAGCACATTATGGTCTTTACAAGGCAGTATCAGATGCCTCCTACCTTATCAACCGAGTCATGAATGATGTTTTTTAGTACAATTCCTACTTCAAGCAAGGGAAAGATGTTGTAGGTCGTGACTCATTATCCCCACATCAAAAGCTTACTAGTGTTTACTGTTTGCTTGCATATGGATGCTCGACATACTCTTTGGATGAGATTTGTCGAATGGGTGAGAACATCATACTAGAGTGTTTGAGGAAATTTTGCTTGGCTATCACCAATATTTATTGTGCTTAGTACTTGTGTGCACCGATAGTAGAAGATACTCACCTCCTCCATCATGGTGCACAACGTGACTTTCCAGGAATGATTGGATCTATTGAGTGCATGCATTGGGAGTGGAAGAACTATCCTACTGGGTGGACATACCAATACACTAGGCACAAGAAGAAACCAAATATTATCGTTGAAGTCGTAGCATTGTACTGCACATGGATTTGACATGCCTTCTTTGGAGCACCTGGATCCAACAGTGAAATCAATACTTTTGGAGTATCCCCACTATTCGATCAAACAATACGAGGGCTATTTATGAATGTGAGTTATGAGGTAAATGGTAAGAGGTACAATCAATGCTATTACTTGGATGCTGGAATATACCGAGTGAGCTACATTTGTGAAGATTATTAGCAATCAAGCAACTAGAAGAAGAAGTTGTTTGCAAAGTACCAAGAGACTTACTAGAAGGATGTTGAGAAGGCGTTTGGCATACTACAATAAAGTGGGTCACTATGATATGGTCGGCTCGTTTAAGGGATGAGATTATGTTAACTTGTATTGTTCAGCACAATGTGATAGTGAAAGATCCATGATATGAATACGAGGATGGAGATGGTCCACAATGGACAACATTAATATGAGAGTAATCCAAATGGTACATGAGATCCACCCAATCCTAACATTTTGACTCTCATGGAGTACATAGACATAGTAGAATTCATGATCGTCCTAGACATCATGCATTGCAAAACGATTTGATTGAGCATTTGTGGACCAAATATAGCGTGGATTAGAGGTGAGATTTTTTAGTGTTTTATTTCTTGCATTTTCTATCTTTTCTCCTTCTTTTCTATTTAGGATCATCTCTCTTGATCCATGTACTCTTTGTTCATTCCATTTCGTTCAATAAATCATCGTCATTATAAAATATATATATATATATATATATATATATATATATATATATATGGTGAGTTCTACGGTACCCCGGGTAAAATCCGGGGTACCGCATACCCTGAGTATGAAAAAGATATCTAGACCTCGAATTAGCAGGGTTTTTGGGCATGATACTATACCCTAACCCTTAATGAGTGAACCCTAGGTCCTAATTATCTAAATCATAAACTATAAACTCTAAGATGGTGCATTGATTTTTTTGCCTATATTTGGACGAATCATAACCGTCGATTATTATTTCTAACTAAATTGATCTTGGGGTATAAGATTAAGTGAATTAAGACATATATTTTTATCTTTATGGATTAGAGTATAGTATCATGTCCGAAAGATCAGTCAATTCAAGTTCTAGATAGCGTTTTTTTACTCAAGGTATGCGGTACCCCGGATTTTACCCGGGGTACCGTAGAACTCACCATATATATATATATATATATATGTATGGCAAAGGCTAGCGTATGTCCAAGCAATATTTATCTATTTTTGTCCTTGTTGTTGTAATTTTAAGGGTTAATATGTTTGTGTGATATTAACCTTTCCCATATTTAACATCATGACCAATTCTTTTGCTATATAACATCATGACCTGAACTAACCCTACACTTTACTAATTTGGCCAAATCCGAGAGTTGATCGTTAGTTTTGAAGGTCAAGACCGTTGACTAACGGTCAACCCGTCATATCACTGCTAACTCAGCATCTTAATATTTTAAGTTAGATAAAAACCCAAATGGGGACCCTCTTCTTCCACGTCAGCGAAATTAGAGTTGTCGTCACCGACGCTACTGAAATAAGCCATTATATCATACAGCTTGGCGAAATCGCGGAATTGTTTCCCGATGGCGAAGAGAGATGCTACTGGGGAAGCTCCTAGAGTCGGTGCGGGAATGGCTGATATCCGGACCTGAGCCGGTTTCCCGGCGGAACAGGTCGTTGGGGCTTGCAAGAGTAACAACAGATCTACAAAGTGAAACCCTAATCGCTTGGTCATTTCCATTCATCACAAAACAATTTATATGGCACCTCTAGCACTACAAGACAACACTAGCC